GAGCCTCAACCTAACCTAACCTATCCTAACCTAAATTAAGTCAAATGTCCATTGGTCAGTTAGTTATTCAAGTTTAGGCCTTTTGGGGTTTAGGCCTTTTCGGTTTTAGGCCTTTTGGGTGAGTCCCATAATATAGAATCTATATAGATATTACTATTGACCAATGGCTAGATACTATATTGACTATAGGTGATTGTAATGTACTACATTAAATGTAGTTTGTATTTGGACTTGATTCCTTATGGAAACCAAAGGCTCATATTAATCAATAAAAATAATAATAATAATAATAATGGTTTATTGGATTTAAGAAGTTCTCTTAAATAATACATAGGTATCATAAAAGCAAATTAATTTCTTTAACAAACAAATTATACTATATTTAGAAATACTGTACATCTAATATTTTAAAGCAAATCATTAAAATTTAATTAGTTTTATAAAATCATTAAATAGTTTTGAAACATATATAAAAAATGATCCATGTAGATTTGTGTAATGATAGTCCCATTCCTTGATGTATCATAAAAACACAATTCATTACACCATTAGTTTGTATAATGATTATACTATAATCACATAATTTAAAACTAATTTTAAAGACAATTTTTATTATTTGTATTATCCGTCTCTTTTCGAGAGATAAAATGTTTAAAAGCAAAAGTCTATCATCATTATACCGGTCATCATTATAACATAAAATCCATTTACCGGTATATATGATTAATAAATTTCAAGACTAGCCTTGAAACTTAAACTCAATAATGCATGGACAGTACATTATCAAATATAATACTATCTAAAAAGGTCTTATATATAAAAAGATCTGATTTTATATGATTTTTAATATATAATGTATTCCCTATGTGTTTTGTATATAGAGCATTATTCGTATACTTTATTTACTATTTCATTCATGAATTTGTATGTATTGTATGTATGAGAAAATTTGTACATTAGTCATTATACTATATAATGATCTTGTTGCAAATATTTGAATTAAAATATTACTCATGAAAATATAAATTAATGAATGAAATAGTAAATAAAGTATAAGAATAATAATGCTTTATATACAAAATACATAGGGAATACATTATAGTGTATAATAAAAATTCATATAAAATCAGCCAGTTCCTATTGGCACGGCTCACCCTACCAAATTTATTTTTAATATGTTTAAGTTTATTTCTATACAAGTTTTAGTTTGTTTTGAAAAATTACAATAGCGTATTACCTTTTAAATGGTAAAAAACTAGTAATTACCCAATTCAATAAATGCAAACTTTGTTTTAGTGTCATTTGTTAAGTTTAAGTTTCAAGGCTAATCTTGAAATTTATTAAACATATGAAACTACTTGGAAATCTTTAATAGCATTTTTATTATTAGAAAAAATATTGATTTAAACTAAGATTTCTTAAAATAATTAATTTAAAACTAGTTTTCTATACGCATTAGAGTTTTAATTAGCCGTATATTTTGGACACTATTTTGAATTAATATACTCCCACTATTATATTTTGCATAATACTAAACACAGTGACTTGTTCAAATAAAATTAATTATGGATTTGGACCCAAAATTATATAATGATACAAATAAAGTACAGCTTGATGATGGCATTTACCTGGCTAATAAAATCATAACAGAAACAAGGGGAAAGTAAGTGTGTTTTAAATAATAATATGTATAGTATTAATATAGCATATATAAATTGTTGTAATTTAAATATTATTTATAACATATTATTAATATAAATTATTGATTATTAAATATTGAATTATTACAATTTTTATATATTCCAACATTATATTTAAATAAGCTAACTATACAAGGTATTTAATTTTCGTAATGCTCTTGGTCCATTAGGTCATTCGACATTTGTATGGAAATTGGTTGTGGACCCGGAAATATGACTAAACTATACAACGACTTGTTAAATATCGGTACGTTTATGGCCATTGATATCGACAGTAAGATGATTAAGTTCGCCGAAGAAAACTACCCTGCTCAAAACACCACATACATCGCGCAGGACTTCGGTGTCAAATGGGATAAACTGTCGCCAGAGGTCAGGGCCCTCGAGAATCGCGTTAACCTAATCGTGTCCAACCATACCATGCATTGGATTTTTAAGCAACGTGAAAACGCTGCTAATAATATACGTAGACTATTGGCTGACCAGGGTCTAGTATACTTGCAGTTTGCGTGCTTACCATATTATAAAGATGTGGTCGATAACCCATTTCTGAGTTTCCTAACGGGAATCGGCGTATTTATCGGCAGCATTACAAGTATTACAGTTGTTAAACAACGATCAGGGTGGATTAACGCAATGACAAATAATGGTTTAAAGCTCATCCAGGATAGTATTGAGGACAAAACGTGCGAGGTGCCCATGAATGTTTATAATGATAGTATGTATAATTATATTTTCCAATTTATATTTTTATTATTGCTTTAATATAAAATTTAATTTATATACAGTTTAAATATAAATATATCCTAATATTTTTTCTATACAAAATGTTTTATTTATTAAATTGAATTTATCAAATTGATCATTTTCTAGATATTGTGCGTATATCAGTAAATTATTCGTACAGATATAAGTGGGATAAGTTGACCAAGTACATCATGTTTAAAGCTGCCAAGTCGATACTCCCAAAAAATGCAACAAAACGTATTGATACAACAAATGGGTTAAAATATATGAAAATTGAATACCAAAATTTTGTGTTTGTTTTTGAAAAATAACATTTTTCTATTAACTATGTATTGTAATCGCATTTATCCAAATGTAGTTAATACAGTACTTAAAAATAATTAAAGTTAACAAAAATGTCTACAGTATAAATTAATTTTTAATTATTTTACAAATATCTAATAAAAATTATTTGAATAATTAAAATAAAATAAACTTGTTATCTTTTAAATCAACTTAAAACACTAATTAAAATTTATAATTTAGAAATTTCTTATACTTTTTATTTTTACGTTCCGTTGCTGGATTAGCTGTAAAAATATTATAATTAATATAAATTATTATTTGATGGGCATATTTTAAATACCTGTATATGAGTGTCTAAAAAATTTGTGATTTTATCAAACCTAAGTATGTGTAAGATTTTTACTTTTATTTTCCATAGCATTTAATGTCAGCTAAAATATTACACATATTTTTGTGAAAATCGTAGCTTAAAGCGATAATTGAAGGATAATTGAATAACTTGCTTGAATATTATGCTAAATGAAACCTCCCATAGCTTGTGTTATAAATGTAATAATACGTCAGAGAAGATACCCTTAACTGTTATTGACTTTAAAGTTATAGCTAATTGATAAACGGTATGATTGAACAATGATAAAAAGATAATAAATTATATATATTATACCTAAAGGCATGAATTAGTTTAGATTTTAAAATTCTATTCATGTGCCTAATATTGTATCACAAAGACTATTATAATAACACCAATTATCCAATCTAAAATATAATTTTATATACAATTTTAGGCTATTAGAAATTTTTATGAGTTTGTTATTCATTTATTAATAGAAATACTAAATAAACACTAAACTTTAAAGTAAATAATAAATTTTAATAAAATTAAGTATATATTTACACGAATATCGTCAATAACTTCATGTAAATATCAAACTCATGTCAAATATAATACTGTACTAAAATTTAACAACACATTCAATGAAATAATTTAAAATTATTCTTCGAAAATCACCAATAAAACTAAAATTAGTTTCAAAAAAAATATTTTAAAAATATTTCTTGCAAACCATAAAAAGAAGTTTGATAAATCTGGTTCAATATATCGGATGATACCTGACTAATATAGGCTTATCTTTCGCTTCTTGCA